TCTTCGGTCATGATGTTGAAACCTCGTTTGGATCGTAGAGTAAAACTCGGCCTCTATTTGTTTGTGCTCCCTTTTGCTGTCTGTAGATAAAAGCTCATGTTTGAAATTGTCTGATTACTTACTTGTATATGATATTCCCCTCCTGGACAATGACAAGATATAAGTCTTCACTGGGCACTGGTGACCGGGTATTGTTGAATTCGAGGGTTTTCAGACTGGATGTAGCTACAGAATAATGCAGTGTATAGTGTGTGGTTAACCAACAGATAGTTTGCGAAAATGGGGTTATATGTACAAGGCATGTCATCTCTGTGTGGTGAACAGTGTAGATTTGTGACTGTTGTGTCATGAGCAGTGCAGATTTATAACTGATGTGCCATGATATTGCCAGTGAGGGGCAATGCTGATTTGACCTTTCAAAGATGGTGTGAGTGCAAGGAATGCTGGTCTTTGGGCGAATATCTGCTGGGTAACAAGTTGTTCTGCGAACAGCGCACGGTAAGATGAGGGTGGAAATTCGATATGACAGGTACCATAGGGGTGGGTAGTAATTATGTAGCAAGTTCAGTAAGACACAGCAAGAGAACTCACTTAACCTCATGTCAAGAAATTCTAAAAAAAACATAATGCAACTCCAAATTAGCCAAAATGAGCAAGATTCAGCCCAGTATTTCAGTAATTTCTAGAACATAGAACATCGAACAGTACAGCACAGTACAGGCCCTTCGGCCCACGATGTTGTGTTGACCTATTATCCTACTAAGATCAAACTACCTTGCATACCCTACATTTTACTATCCTCCATGTGTCTATCCAAGAGTCGCTTAAAAGCCTCTAAAGTATCTGACTCTACTACCACTGCTGGCGGTGCATTCCACACACCCACCAAACTCTGTGTGAAGAACCTGCTTCTGACATCTCCCCTATACCTTTCTCCGATCACCTTAAAATTATGCGCCCTCATAATAGTCATTTCCACCCTGGGAAAAAGTCTCTGACTGTCCACTCTATCTATGCCTCTCATCATCTTGTACGCCTCTATCTCACATCCTTCTTCACTCCAATGAAAAATGCCCTAGCTTCCTCAACCTTTCCTTATATAACCTGCCCTCCAGTCCAGGCAGCATCCTGGTAAATCTCCTCTGCACCCTCTCTAAAGCTTACACATTTTTCCGATAATGCGGTGACCAGAACTGAACGCAATATTCCAAGTGTGGTCTAACCAGAGTTTTATAGAGCTGCAGCATAACCTCGCGGCTCTTAAACTCAATTCCCCTGCCAATGAAAGCCAACACACCATACGCCTTCTTTACAGCCCTAGCAACTTTGAGGGATCTGTGGACATGGACCCCAAGATCCCTCTGTTCCTCCACACTGCCAAGAATCCTGCCATTAACCCTGTATTCTGCATTCAAATTCGACCTTCCAAAATGAATCACTTCACACTTTTCTGGTTTGAATTCCATCTGCCACTTCTTTGCTCAGCTCTGTATCCTGTCAATGTCCCGTTGCAACCTACAACAGCCCTCCACGCTGTCCACAACTCCACCAACCCTCGTATCATCGGCAAACTTACTAACCCACCCTTCCACTTCCTCATCCAAGTCATTTATAAAGATCACAAAGAGCAGAAGTCCCAGAACAGATCCCTGCGGAACACCACTGGTCACCAAGCTCCAGGCTGAATACTTTCCATCTACTACCACCCTCTGTCTTCTATTGGACAGCCAGTTTTGTATCCAGACAGCCAAATTTCCCTGAATCCCATGCCTCCTTACTTTCTGAATGAGGCTACCATTGGGAACCTTATCAAATGCCTTGCTAAAATCCATATATACCACATCCACTGCTCTGCCTTCATCAATGTGTTTGTCATATCCTCAAAGAATTCAATAAGGCTTGTGGGGCATGACCTGCCTCTCACAAAGCCATGCTGACTATTTCTAATCAACCTGCACTTTTCCAAATAATCATAAATACTATCTGTCAGAATCATCTCCAATAACTTGCCCACCACAGAAGTAAGACTGAGCAGTCTGTAATTTCCAGGATTATCCCTATTCCCTTTCTTGAACAAGGGAATGACATTTGCCCCCTCCAATCGTCTGGTACTACTCCAGTAGATAGTGAGGATGCAAAGATCATTGCCAAAGGGGTAGCAATCACTTCCCTCGCTTCCCGTAGTAACCTTGGGTATATCCCATTTGGCCCAGGGGACTTAACTATCCTCATGTTTTTCAATATTTCTAGCACATCCTCCTTCCTAACATCAACCTGTTCGAGCATATCAGCCTGTTTCATGCTGTCCTCACAAACATCAAGGTCCCTCTCACTGGTGAATACTGAAGCAAAGTATTCATTAAGGACCTCCCCTACCTCCTCTGACTCAGCGCACAAGTTCCCTTCACTATCCCTGATTGGCCCTACCCTCACTCTGGCCATCCTCTTGTTCCTCACATAAGCATAGAATGCCTTGGGGTTTTCCTTGATCCTACCTGCCAAGGTTTTCTCATACTCCCTTCCAGCTCTCCTAAGTCCATTCTTCAGTTCCTTCCTGGCTATCTTGTAGACCTCTAGAGCCCTGTTCAATCCTTGCTTCCTCAACCTTAAGTAAACTTGCTTCTTCCTCTTGACTAGGTGTTCCACATGTCTTGTCATCCAAGGTTCCTTCACGTTACCATCCTTTCCTTGCCTCAGTGGGACAAACCTATCCAGTACTTGTAGCAACTGCTCCCTAAACAACCTCCACATTTCTTTTGTGCATTTCCCTGAGAACATCTGTTCCCAATTTATGCTCCGCAGTTCTTGCCTAATAGCATTGTAATTACTCCTCCCCCAATTAAATACTTTCCCATACTGTCTGCTCCTATCCCTCTCCATGACTATGGTAAAGGTCAGGGGGTTGTGATCACTATTACCGAAATGCTGTCCCACCGAGAGATCTGACACCTGGCCTGGTTCGTTGCCAAACACCAAATCCAATATGGCCTTCCCCTCTAGTCGGCCTATGTACATATTGAGTCAGAAATCCTTCCTGGACACACCTAACAAAATCTGCTCCATCCAAACTATTTGCACATAGAAGGTTCCAGTCTGTATTAGGGAAGTTGAAGTCACCCATGATAACAACCCTATTACTTCTGCACCTTTCCACAATCTGTCTCCTTATCTGTTCCTCAGTGTCTCTGTTGCTATTTGGGGGTCTCTAAAAAACTCCCAATAAAGTGACTGCTCCTTTCCTGTTTCTGACTTCCACCCATACTGTCTCAGTGGGCAAATCCTCCTCCAGGACCTTCCTTTCTGCAGCTGTGATACCATCATTTCTGACTGTTTTCCAACAGTCCATCATCCTTCTTCGCTTTAGAGTCAGAACAGATTACTTGTTTCCAGACTACTTGTAATGGCACTGCGTGGAACCTGTTAGAAAGTATGAAAATAATCAATTTAATTTATTTTGTAAATTGCCTGTGTTGGTGCCACATGCTTCTGCTCCCATTTTGATGTTCTTGTAGGTAGTGAAAGAGATCAAGGAACATTTTACATGGGATTTCTAAAACATGTAACACCTAGGTGCACCAGATAGTCACCTTGCGATTGTGGCTTAATGTGCTGAGTGGTGAAGTTGGTTTTATTTGTGCATTGATTGAACAACATTAAATCCTAGTTCAGTGTGGCTTCCTTTTCCCTTGAAAGGTGTGCTTCCTCAATTAATAGAAACGGTTGCTATTTTGGTTTTTACTCAACTGACTCATCAATGACAGAGCACTGAACAGCAATTATTATAATAACAGAGGTAGCTGGAAGTTGGAGCTCTTTCTGTCTTATGTCAGGATGAGAGCTTACATCATATGTATCTGTTTCATCAAACTCATAGGTAGTTATCACTCATGTCGATATGGCAAGTCAGGACATGGGTGAGAAAAATATGGGATATGCGTATATCATCAACTAAAAGACACTCAATTTCTGAACGTTTTCCAAGGGAGTATGAGAAAAGTGACTACTTCATCTCCAGTTATTCCTCACTACAAAAATCTGAAAGGTGAAATAACAATTGACAGTTGATTTCAGATAACATTATTCTTATTTCAGATAATTGCTTCATTCAGTCTTCCCAGCGTCACTAAAATACATACTTGTAGAGACTCAGTTTTTAATAGGGGAGCAGATTGACTTAAGAACTTGGATAAATTATAAAATAGATGATCGGAACAATATGCTTTTTAGCTGCTCATTCATTAATGAGGTAAATTTAATCCTACTTTGTTACTTATTTCTTGAATAGCAAACAGGTTTTGTGGCAGACATACTTTCAGATAAAAACTTAGGTGCAGCATTGAAATAAGAACAGGCTGACCAAAAGTTGTTTCATATACAAAATAATTGTTTAACATTCACTGGAATGCCCCCCTACTTGTGAAAGGCTTTTCCAGTTGTATGATGGAGATAAGAATCATAGAATCCCTACAGTGCAGATCTGCACTGACCTTTTGAAGAGCATCCCACTCTATCCCCACATTTACCATAGTTCACCCACCTAGCCTTCAATTTAACATGATCAATCCATGTCTCTGACACAATTTAGACTGTAGGAGGAACTGGAGCACCCAGAGGAATCTCTCACAGACACAAGAAAATTGTGCATACTCGAGACATATAATCACCCAAGGCTGGAATTGAACTTCAATCCCACACACTATGAGGCAGCAATGCGAAACACTCTGCCACTCTCAAATATCACACACACCAGACAAAATGTGAAGAACCTCGTTTTTGAAGGACAGAAATTACACAGTAGTTGACTTGATGTCTTCCATTTGATACTGCAGATTTTTCATTGACTCTAATTCTTCAATTAAATGTTTAAATGCTGTCACCAGTCATTGAAAAGACCAGCATTGCAACACTTTTATTGAACTCCTACCTAATCTACAGTTATAATGGTATTTAACAAAAATGTAAAATTTACTTTTTAATAAAATATGATCTTATTCAAATAGGAGTGGAATGACTATAGGCTAAGATGGAATCCCGGAAACTACGAAGGGATCGATAAACTCAGAATATCTTCTCGGCATCTTTGGCTCCCCGATATAGTGTTATATAACAAGTAAGTCACTCTTTCATCATTTTGCTCCTGTTCATTTGGTGGCACTTTTGTGTTATTGGGTAGTTATGTACTTTGGCAAAAATCTTTAAAATATCTGACTGGAGTAGCACGTTTGGTAAATTCATGGTACTTACAGTGACAGTATAGAGGTGAGTGAAACACTCGGGTTGTGAATTCAACCATCAGCAAGAGCAGCTTTGGTCTCTTGTGTAGGAATGGTAGCATCCCTACCCCTGAGAAAGTAGGCTTGGGTTCAAATCTCACCCGATTCAGAGGAGTGTTATGTCTAAACACATTGATTAAAAATTATCTATAATCTGTAAAGATGTGTTTGGGAGGTGAATGAAAACGCTCTTATTTACCCTAAAAAGAGTAATTGTAAATGCTGGGAATCTTTGAAGTTGCCTGAATTGAGGAATTCAAGAGGGCATTGGATGATTATTTGGATAAAAATGGCGTGTATATTTATGGGGAAAATGCCGGAGATTGGCACTAGATAAGAGCTGGTGCAGGCAGAATGGGCTGAAAGGCCTCCTTCTGTACTTTATCAATTCTGTGGTTCACAAGATTCACACATTCTGGATCTCTCCCAGTGGGGAGTGCTATTTTCTGCGAGTGAACCTCAGAATGTTTCAGATTATAATTTAGATTTGGATTGTTATCCCAAGTTCAGATGCTGATTGATCTTAAAATTCACCTCAATGATTCCCTTCCTCCAACACCAGTGCAGCATACCTGCAGTACTTATAAGCAACTTGCCAAATCTCCTTCAAATGTACTGTGAACCAATGACCTCTAAAACCCAGAATGACAAGGGTAGCAGATGCAAGGAAAAGCAATAGTTCCAAATTCACTTTTAAATTCAGAATTATTTGTTCATTCTTGCATTGGATGTTGGCACCTCTGACAAGGTTGGTATTTGTTGCCAATCCCTAACTGGCTCTTCATGCCATTTCAGAGGGCAGTTAAGAGTAAGCCACATTGCTATGGGCCCTGGAAACACATGTCAGCCGCACCAGGTAAGATAGCTGCTCTCCTTTCCCAAAACAACATTAGTGAACCAGATGGGGTTTACACTTGACACACATTCACCAATAGATTAGCTTTTAATTCCAGATTTTATTGAATTCCAATTTTACTGCTCAGTTCCCAGTACATTAGCCTGGGCCTTTGGATTTATCAGTCCAAGGATATTGCTGGTGTGCTACTGTCTTCCCTATATTGTTGTTGGGTTAAAATCCTGGTATTCCTTACTCAGCACTACTGCTCAGTGCCTTCACCACAAAGACAACAGTGGTTAAGGAGGTGGCTTATTCTATCAAGGACAATCAGCGATGGCCTTCCCAGCATCATCCATGAACAGCAACTGAATTTTAAAATGTTTGCTGAGAACTGACAGCACTTACTGTTTTTATTTTAGTACCATTATTGTCGATATTAAATGAATTTTTAATCTTTATTTACTTGCACTGCTGAGCCATTTTATTGATTTAATTGCTACGCTAATTAACCTGCAGTGTAGTGCACCAATGAGAACCAGAGCTTATGAGCGCAATTTAAACATTTAAATAATTTTAATGTACGGCCACTGTTACTTAGTATTTTACATCTTCGTAAATTGAATACTGCAAGCTGACAGTGGGAGGAGGGCTTTGAAGGAGAGGCACTTGCCTTCTCTTCTTCATGTCTCAAATACCTGCTGAGAGTGTCAGGCTTGTGAGAAAGTCCTCCTGTACATCTCATGGCTTTGATTCTTTGAGAGAGGGAAGGAGGAAGCAATTTGGGGAATATTCCTCTTCTTTCTCCAACGGTTGACTCCAGCAGGTAGAAAATCTTAGAGGCAATCAAGCCACTTTGGTTCAATTCATGATCTCCAATTCCTTTCCAAATGTGAAGGTAATATAAAAAGAAGAGTTACAAGGCCAATCCTTAGTGCCTGAGTCTGAACAATAGGAAAAGAATTGAGAAAATTAAGCACTTTAGCCTTGAAACAGGCTTCCAAGAGATAATTCTGTTCAGGCAAATGAGAGCACTGAAGTCAATCAGGAACAGTACTTTAAACAATGAAGTAGAACCAGATAATACAGCTACATCTAGAGAAAATTACTTACAGGAAATATGGAGGGTGCAGATTGAATTTCTAGATAAAAGATTGGTGGTTTTTTTTTGTCCCTCTTTCCATCGATCTCTCTCTCTTTCTCCCACTTTTTGTGTTTCCATGTAAAGCTCCCAAAAGTCAGTAGGAAATAACTAATTAAAAAAAAATAAAATGACCAATTATCAATTCTGTTTTTGTTATTAGATCTATAGCTGAACCAGAAAGGCTAATCCTTCTCTTTAGTTCATACACTCAAAAGGTTTCAGGTAAAATGACAGCATTGTCCATGATAATTGGAAAGCATCTGACACATAATGCTATGTGGACCACACTGTTTTTAATGGGTCCTGTAATGTGACCACTCCTCCTTCCTCTTTACCCTCCTATTCACCCATACACATCTAACACCCAAGAGTCCCTTTTTGTTTAAATTGTATGTAGGCATCACTGGTTAGTCCAGCGTTTATTGCCCATTTCGAATTGCTCTTGGGATTGTAGTGGTGAGCCATCTTCTTGAACGATTGCAGGCGTCGTGACACCCTCAGTTATGAAATACCAGTGAAAGCTTGCAGCTAGTCGAGGTGAGGAATTGATTGCATCTCACAAATTATTTTGAGAACTTAGTTGTAAACAGTTATCTTGGGGTTTTTCTTTCCTTTCAGTGCTGATGGAACCTATGAAGTGTCCCTTTATACTAATGCAATTGTATACAGCAACGGAGACGTGTTCTGGCTGCCTCCTGCCATCTACAAGAGCGCCTGCAGAATTGAAGTGAAGCACTTTCCTTTTGACCAGCAGAACTGCACCCTGAAATTCCGATCATGGACGTACGATCGCACTGAAATTGATTTAGTCCTAAGCAGCGATGTTGCAAGCAGAGATGACTTCAAACCCAGTGGGGAATGGGATATTGTCTCTCTTCCAGGGAGAAGGAATGAGATACCAACTGACCCAACATATGTTGATATTACATATGATTTTATCATCAAGAGAAAGCCATTATTTTATACCATTAATCTGATCATCCCCTGTGTGCTGATAACTTCTCTTGCGATTCTGGTGTTTTACTTGCCCTCCGATTGTGGTGAGAAAATTACGCTCTGCATTTCTGTCCTGCTGGCGTTAACTGTCTTCTTACTGCTCATCTCCAAGATTGTTCCTCCAACCTCACTGGATGTGCCCCTGTTAGGGAAATACCTGATGTTTACCATGGTGCTGGTTACCTTCTCAATAGTTACCAGTGTCTGTGTATTAAATGTGCACCATCGGTCACCCAGTACCCACACCATGCCCGAGTGGGTGAAGCAAATGTTTCTCAAAAAGCTACCCACCCTCTTATTCATGAAGCGCCCAGAGAGTCGAAGCCTGAAGGACAGAATCAGTAGAGAGCAGACATCAGCTTGTCCAAATGGCAAGGAGGATCAGACTGATGTTCAAACATGTTACATCAACAAAGAGCCAGCAAAGGAATATGGCTGGCATTTAGGAGATCTGCCAGACCATCAAGATCTAAGGAAGAAGGGGTCATCAAAGGTCAATTCCAGCATTCAAGAAGCAGTTGATGGTGTTAGATTCATAGCAGAACATATGAAGAGTGAAGATGATGATCAGAGTGTGAGTTCATCTTTTTCTACCTCTTGTTTTAACACTGGATGCAAATAAAATTCCTGATCAGTGAGAAATAGGCAGGTTAATGTTCCATTGCATGAGGGCTTTTAATTCAAGATTAATTTTCAGCATCACAGTCAGCAGAAGCCCGACTAAATTTGCAAATTTTTTGCCAAGCGACTTGACGAAAGAGCAGTAGGTGTTTGCAACACAGAAGGTCATTCAACTCAGTTGTTTTGCACCAGCTTTTCACTAGAATGATCTGAAATTAATGCTGTTGTCTCACTAACTCTCAATGGCTTTGATTCCAGTATGCAACCTGGTAATTGCTTTATAAGAGGTTTGCAAACACTCAGCTGACCTTTAGTATGTGTTGTGTTGTGTTTTTAGTTGCACTTCAGCCCCATGCTCCTGATCTTTGGATATCTGGTATGGAGGGGTCCAGGCAGATGGGAGGACCTCCTCATGGGTCTGCTCCAGGGCCTGGCCAGGCTGGTTGTAGACAGGTTCCAGGCAGCAGGCTGTGGAGGGAGTCATCTCTGCCGGCTGTCTGCTCCTCCTAGCCGTTATGTTCATGCCTGGGTGTCCTTGGAGAGGGAACATGCGGAATGCATCAATGCTCTTGATGTCTTTAGAAAGAGATGGCACCGTAGGGGATACAATGTTTTATTTCCTCCTCCAAATCCATTTTGATTTAGATCCTTCTGTCCCTCCCTACTTCACCACTCCCCTCACATTTGAAGGTTAGCATTGCCCTTAATGGGCTTTACATGTAAATATTGAACGGCGATTTACTGGTGGTTTTAAAAAAATGCAAAAAAAAGTCACAGTGATTTTGGTGGTGGGAATGTGGCTCAGTTGTGTGTAATAATACTTGTGGGTAGAGAAAAAGATGTTGATTTATTTTGGCACGTCCCTGTGGCACAATTGGTCAGTACATTTGGCTGTTAACCGAGAGGTTGGTGGTTCAAGACATTCAGGAAGGATGTGCACAGATAGTGTCCATACCTCTGAACCAGGAGACCTAGGTTCAAGTCCCACCTGCTGCGGAGGTATGTATTAACATCTCTGAACAAGTTGATTAGAAAGAATAGATTTATTTTGAGATACCTTGCAACCTTACACTGCTTAAGAAGTAATTTCCTACAGTGCTTACCAAACAAAAAGATTTACCTAGGATTTTAGAAGAACCATGTGCCCTTTAACCAAGCAGAACTTAAAAATAAACTAACTAGCAATTTTAGGCCACAGCCAAACTCATCACTCAGGTGATCTAGTCACCAAATGCTGGAAATAGAAAGTGACTGTGACCACACCCAGACTGGGCAGAGTAATGGTTCAGAGATAGTAGGAACTGCAGATGCTGGAGAATCTGAGATAACAAGGTGTAGAGCTGGATGAACACAGCAGGCCCAAGCAGCATCAGAGGAGCAGGAAGGCTGACGTTTCGGGCCTAGAACATAGAACATAGAACATTACAGCGCAGTACAGGCCCTTCGGCCCTCGATGTTGCGCCGACCTGTGAAACCAATCTGAAGCCCATCTAACCTAAACTATTCCATTATCATCCATATGTTTATCCAATGACCATTTAAATGCCCTTAAAGTGGGCGAGTCTACTATTTTTGCAGGCAGGGCATTCCACGCCCTTACTACTCTCTGAGTAAAGAACCTACCTCTGACATCTGTCCTATATCTATCACCCCTCAATTTAAAGCTATGTCCCCTCGCGCTAGCCATCACCATCCGAGGAAAAAGGCTCCCACTGTCCACCCTGTCTAATCCTCTGATCATCTTGTATGTCTCTATCAAGTCACCTCTTAACCTTCTTCTGTCTAACGAAAACAGCCTCAAGACCTTCAGCCTTTCCTCATAAGACCTTCCCTCCATCCTGGTAAATCTCCTCTGCACCCTTTCCAATGCTTCCACATCCTTCCTATAACTGTACGCAATACTCCAAGTGCGGCCGCACCAGAGTTTTGTACAGCTGCAACATGACCTCATGGCTCCGAAACTCAATCCCTCTACCAATAAAACCTAACATACTGTACGCCTTCTTAACAACGCTATCAACCTGGGTGGCAACTTTCAGTGATCTATGCACATGGACACCGAGATCTTTCTGCTCATCCACACTACCAAGAATCTTACCATTAGCCCAGTACTCTGTATTCCTGTTACTCCTTCCAAAGTGAATCACCTCACACTTTTCCGCATTAAACTCCATTTGCCACTTCTCAGCCCAGCTCTGCAGCTTATCTATGTCCCTCTGTAACCTGCAACATCCTTCCGCACTATCCACAACTCCACCGACTTTGGTGTCATCCGCAAATTTACTAACCCATCCTTCTACGCCCTCATCCAGGTCATTTATAAAAATGACAAACAGCAGTGGCCCCAAAACAGATCCTTGAGGTACACCACTAGTAACTGAACTCCAGGATGAACATTTCCCATCAACCTAGAAAACTTTTTTGAAGAAAGGCCCGAAATGTCAGCCTTCCTGCTCCTCTGATGCTGCTTGGCCTGCTGTGTTCATCCAGCTCTACACCTTGTTATCTCTATGGGAAGAATAATTGTTTTATTTCTATCTGAGCACTCTACTTGCGAGTTATGTGAGGATCTTGGAGGGGTAATTGCATTAATCAGTCACTTGCACAGTACAAGTTGATGACATCCGTAATCATAACACTCGCGTATGAAACACGCAGAGTGTCCAGTAAGTGTAGGTCACAAGCAATTTTGACCATGTTATTGGTCACTGCAGATTAAAGATAGTCATCTCTGTGAAGCAGAATTTGTAATAGTCAACCTGAAAAGTTGCACCAGCGGGGCACAATTCACAAATGCAGTCCCAGATCTCAAAGGCTACAGATATCCTCCCACTTTGAAATGTGTATATTCAGCAACATGCTCTTAGATGCAATGCTACCTTTCTTGCGTGGTGCAGGGATGGGAGAACAAGTATCAGTAATCATACAGCACCTACAGTCTCCTACGATATCTGTCCATCATGGCTTGTGTTGTATTAATCAAAATAAGGCCCCTCTGTCAATGGTCCATGTAGAGACATTCCACAGTCACCCTCCATGTCCCACTTTATCGAAGACTATGCTAAGTTGTTATTTGTGAGCTATGTGAATGCTGACAGAGGATGTCCAAGGACACTACAACAGAACTGTGTTAACTGCTGGAGTAGGACCTGCAATGTGAATTAATTAGTAAAGACAAACGCCAGACACGGTGGAAATTATAACGGAGAACAAACAGATGGCAGAAGAATTGAACATTTTGGTTTTGTCTTCACAAAAGAGGACACAAGTAATTTCCCAGAAAGTTACGGAAACAAGTTTCCAGTGAAAGGGAGGAATTGAAGGAAATCCGTGTCAGTAAACAAATGGTGCTAGGTTAAAGTCTGACAAATTCCCAGGGCCTGATAACCTGCAGCTCAGAGTATGAAAGGAAGTGATCCTAGAAATATTGGATGTATTTAAGATCATCTTCAAATTTCTACAGACTCTGGAGAAGTTCCTACAGATCGGAGCTTGGCAAATGTAACTCCACTGTTTAAAAGGGAGGAGGAAAGAAACTGAGAATTACAGACCAGTTAGTCTAACATCAGTAGTGGGCTAAATGTTGGAGTCTATTATAAAATATGTGATATCAGTACACTTAGAAAGCATTAACAGGATTAGACAAATTCACCATGGGTTGATGAAAGGGAAAGCATGTTTAACTAGTCTTCTGGAATTTTTTAAGGATGTAACTAATAGATACGGAGGAACTAATAGAGGTAGTAGGAACTGCCAATGCTGGAGAATCTGAGATAACAAGGTGTAGAGCTGGATGAACACAGCAGGCCAAGCAGCATCAGAGGAGGAGGAAAGCTGACGTTTCGGGTCTAGACCCTTCTTCAGAAAAAGGAGGAACTAGTAGTTGTGGAATATTTTGCTTTCAAAAAAACTTTTAATAAGGTCCCACACAAGAAACCATTGGGGAAAAGATTAGCAGATAGGATTGTGGGTAATATATTGGCCAAAATTGAGAATTATTGACCGACTAGAAACAGAGACTGGTATAAATGGGTCATTTTTCAGGTAGCTGACAACATTCAACTGGGTGGGATTGTGAGTTGTAAAGAGGATGCAAGGAGCCTTCAGGACAATCTGGACAAATTGAGTTTGTAGGCGAACACATGGCAGGTGCGGTATAACGTGGAGTAATGTGAAGTTAAACCATTTGGTGTGAAAACCAGAAGGGCACAGTATTATTTAAACTGTGATATATTGGGAAATGTGGATCTACAAAGGGATCTGGGTGTCCTTGTACATTGGTCAATGAAAATAAACATTCAGATACAGCGAGCAGTTAGGCAAATGTTGGTCTTCATCACAAGAGGATTTGAGTTAAGGAGTAATGATGTCTTACACAGTTATATAAAGCCTTGGTGGGATTGCACCTGGAGTACTGTAAGCTGTTTTAGTCTCACTACCTAAGATGGGATATTCTTGCCATAGAGGAGAGATTGGTTGACTGGGCCTGTAATGACTAGAGTTTAGAAAGAGAGAAGATCTTATTGAAATGTATATAAATATAACCGGGCAAGATTGTCTAGGTACGATGTTTCCGTTGGTTGGGGATTCTGGAACCGGGGTCATAGTCTCAGGATACAGAGTAACCCATTTAGGACAGAGAATAGGAAACATTTCTTCGATCAGAGGGTGGCCAACCTGTAGAATTGACTACCACAAAACGCTGTGGAGGTTGGGTCACAGTATATTCAAAGAAGAGATCATTAAACTTTTAGATATTAAAGGCATCAAGGGGTATGGAAGGAATGTGGAAATATGACATTGAGGTAGAGGGTTAGCTATGATTATATTAAAGGTAGAGCAGGCTGAAAGGGCCGAATGGCCTACTCCTTCTCCAAGTTACTGTGGAAGAGTGGTTGGCCACCTGTCATTGGTGTCTATCAAAGTGACAGTCATTGGCTGCTACCAAGCAGT